CTATCAGTTTAGAACCAAGGCACTTAATGCTGCTTGCGGTCTCTCAAATGCAAAAGAATTTCAGCTCTCACAAGCTTGTCACAGCCTGGGAGTCTGTTTTTAATAAGTGATACAAGAAAAGCGAGAGAGGAGGAAAGTAACAGGCTTCGGTAAATACACACACTGACCCTGTGAGGTACACTCTGGAGTCTGGCCACATTAGATAGGCTAGCATTCATTTCACTTTCTGCCTGGAATTACTTTAAGCATATGCAAATTACAACGTAAGTTCATAATTCATTAGTCTTCAACTAATGGCAAAAAAACCCAATTGCCCATGAGGAAAAATAAAAACTATTCTATGTGTATTTTATTTTCCTGCAACAGTTCCTGAATCTGTGTGCGTGGTTGGAAGTGTAGTCTACCAGGTAAGATATTTATCTTTATTCTCTTATTATATGCTATACTGTTTTATAATAGTATCAACAGAAACCATTACACTTGTTATACAGTTTTCAGTGATAATAAAAGTGGAACTACCGTGAGATATATAAAGTTACAAGAAAATATATCATGGCCTGAAACTTAGCATATAAACTTCTTTCTTTAGAACTAAGAAATAAACCCCAATAAATGTAAAAAAAAAAAAAAAAAAGCATAATCAAACTGTAGTATCATGACACATAAAATTAAGTTTGTCTCCCTCTTGTGGCCACACACATATATACAATTTACCCTAATAAGTGTGTAGTATGTATTTTAGTGTGCTGTGATAGCATGACTCATGCCTGTACAGATCAGGTTATCAGTAAGGGATGATTGGCTTCACAGTTTCACATTGATGCTTGCGTAAGTTCCAATCACTAGCATACATTAGCGGCGCCTCCATTCAACTTTAGGCTGGGTTCACACCTAGGCGTATCGAATATGCGCGTTTGTCGCACATTTTGTACCAGGCGTTTTTACCGAGATCCGCGGTAAAAAAACACACGTGACAAACGCGTGTTTCTGAGGGCTACCTGGCTGTATCCCAATGGATACGCGCGGCAAATACGCCCCAAAGAAGCTCCTGTACTTCTTTGGGCATAGGGCGTTTTGCAGCGAGTTCCTACGCGCTGTAAAACGCCAAGGTGGGAACCATGCCCATAGGCAATCATTGTTTTTCACATGTTGAGTGTTTTACAGAGCGTAGGAACGCGCTGTAAAACGCCCAGGTGTGAACCAGGCCTTAGGGTAAATGCAGGGCATAGTGCATGCATAGTTAGGAAGCCAGCCATGTAGCACATCTTAGCCGGCACAGGGGTATTCTGCCTCGGTGTTCACTTTTCCCCCTGATGGGGGCTGCTATGATGACAAGCACTGAGTATGCCCTGCAGCCTGCATTCACCAATTGCCCTCAAGTAGTATTAAACTCTCAAAATGTTTTCAATAATGAATCCAGATCAAACAAATATTTATTTACATTTCTGCCCAAACACTTACAGTCATCGTGTCACAGAACATCTGGCTCCAACTCTCTCAGCTCAGCCTCCCTGAACTTCTTGTCCAGGACAAGATCACAAGAGACATAACAGTCTCCAGCAACTGTTCATCTAGACTGGAAAAAACAGAAGGGAGAAGTGGGAAGCAGGGGGAGGGAAGTGTATTGCCTTGATGTTCCTGTGTGTTTGTGGAGCAAGGAAAGAAGCCACCCTAAAAATGGATATGAGGGCCAGTGCTCAGGGGATCAGCTGGTTCTTCAGGAAACTAAAACTTTTAATAATCAAGGAGCAGCATCCGCTGTAAGTGATTGCATCAGCATTTGAAATAGCTTAAAAACCTTTTGACGTTAATATAACTTTCATGCATGACCACTTCTGAGCACCAGATGTCAGCAGAAGTCTGTTCACCGATATGGACAAACTCTTCTGGGGGATAAACTTATAAAGTGTTATGTACACTATATCTAAAACTTTTTTTTTCTTTTTTAGTTCTTAATAGAGAATTGAATGATTAGAACCTCTATTAAATTTTTATTGCTGTTTGTGCCCCCACTGGAAAGATGTATCTTCTCTCTTTGTTCTGGTGGCCATTGTCACTGAGACAGAGAGTAAAAGAAAATCTGACAAATTTTCAGATCAGGACATGTGACTTCACTCTGATGTTCTTGAGCTCTATGGTTGTTCAGGGTAAGTGACTAAGAACTTACTGAAGCCAAGAAAAAAGCAAAAAACAATTTGATAGCCAAGCAACTAACACTTTCAGTATTAGGTTGGCAATACCTGCCTCCTGCCTCTGTATTTCTTTCAGTACAAAACAAAATAACAATAATATCATATTTATCTGACTTAAAAAATAGTCATATTTTTTAAAAAATTGTGTTTTAGGCTTAACATAATAATTGAGTAAGGGAATATACATCCCATATCCATCCCATTTAACAGGTTTCCTATCTGTACTAATCCAAACTTTAATAATGGAAGGGTTTTTCCACCACAGTGATAAAGAAAAACAGTAATCAAGTAATTGGTATGCTTGCCTATAAAATGAAAACAATTCCTTAACCAAATCTGTTTTGTTTAGCGTGGCTCAGAAATTCCTCAACCACCCAGTTCTTGCCAAAAATGTAAATGTTCCTACAGCATGGACCGCAATACAGAATTTTATGCAGTTGAATGCCAACCGATCCAGTGCCAGACAACTTGCCAAGCTGTAAGTGTTTTAATATAGCAAACTAGTTTAGACTTTACTATGTTTCATCATCTTTAGACTATTTATGTGCTTTTCTGTCAAGGCTGAGCGCAAGAGCTTGAATACAATAAGTTTAAAAGGGAAGTAGAAGCAGGAAATAACTGGAAACAGAAAGTAGCCACTGGGTAGAACCCGCCTATCATACTTCCCAGATCAATGCATGCATATGTTTTGTATCTGCAATATCACCAATGCTTTCTGTTGGTTTGCACATATTTTATAGCAATGTGCTGTGAAGTAGGTACACAGTGGAAGAATACAGGTGCCTTCATTAGATTTCACCTTATTGAGACCAAGGGGTTGATTTACTAACCTTATAAACACACCACGAACATGTATACACCTCTGTAGTGTGTTCCCTCCCAGCATGATCTATGGGTGGAATCTAAACACCTTTGTAGTGTGTACACACCCAGCAGGTGTGTTGTGCAAAGCCTTGACTGAATTGCAAGGTGATGTTGTGTAAATTAGCTCTATGTTGTGTTGCTTGCGTTGATGAATGCAGGAATGTAAATGCATGAGCTAACCATTTTTGTCTAAACTGTGAAGCAGCATTATATATGCATCATGTGCATGATTTTTCCATATATGGCATTAGTGGAAATATGCTTTTAGAGACTTTTTGGTTGATAAATAGGTTTTGCTGTGTGAAAATCACACGCACCTGGTGCGTGCGTGTGTTTAGGTTAGTAAATCACCCCCCAAGTGTTTACTGAAAAGGGGTCAAACAAAAGTCCTTTGCACACATCATACAGTAATTTTTTATTCCCATGCCAAACATCATTTCGCTTAGTTCTTATTTACTTCCAAGTATGCAGTGGCTCTCACTTCTGGTGTCACCCCATACTGCTGTTTGCACTGTAATATAGTTGGATTGTTTAACATTCTTTTTTGCCCAGAAGACCAAGGCAAAAACACTGGAGCAGATTTCCACGCTTGCAGATATCTACTTACCTTCTATTTTGGTTGCAACTGTGTAATTCTGGAATTCCCACCACCTTCTATAAAAAGTTTTAAATTAAGATAAACTTCATATGCTACTACTTTGGTAAGATTCAATTACAACGTGTATATATATATATATATA